CCCCCCCCCCCCCCCCACACACACACACACACACACACACACACCTCAATTAATGTGATCTATCCCCCTGCGGCCCGCCGGTTCTCAAGGTCCTAGCGACGACGGTGATACTCGGCTGTAACGGGATTACGGTCTCCATCTTGGGAATGACGTGGGAATGACCGGGTTTCAGGGTTTTTCCGCGTCCGCCTCACAACCGCGTCAAATGTCAAAACCGTATAATTTGACCCAAACGACGTCTTTGATCAAAACGTGGCATATTTGTACGCACGAAACGTCGGTGTGGAAGTTGACCCCGGCGTCCCCCCAGCGCAGCACTTAGACACTACTGCTTTTATAACGCATTATGCAGAGCCGTATTGTATTCTAATATCACACTTATACATATTTAAAGGGCAAAATGATTTATGAATGGGAAACTTTATTCATTTCCACCGGCAGCAAAACAATAAAAGGAGCGGAACTTGATGCAGTGCCGCCGCCCCGGCGTTGTATATCTATTTTAATTATTATTTCAAACGTTTATTTAGTTATATATAGTTTTCACGTCATTTAAACTTTTTTTTTTTTCTTTTTAAAAGTAATTACAATAGAACGAAAGGCAACGAAGGAGGAACTCGGAGATCACTTATCCTCCTCATCCGGCGCTTTGAGGACATCTTGTGAAGCCTGAAACAAAGCCTGAAGCTGAATCTTCGCCGATCTGCGGGCGCAGGGTTAGGGAGTCTGTGAAGTGAAGTCGTTTTGTGAAGAAATACACTCGGCCGGATTTTAAAACTTCGCTTGGATGACTTTGTCCTTGTTCTTAGCTACATTTCTTCACCGTGGTCGAGATGTTTGGCTCAGATGCGGGAGGAAACACGACGCAGCCACTCAGAGTCACATCACAGGATCGAAATACACATTCCTTTTTTAATTGAAAGCAAAATACTTAACATGCGTGTCTACCGCTTTAACGGCACCCGCCGCTTATCCCCTTGATCACTAATGCCTGGTTATTTTTCCACGCATGTGCTGCCGCTAATTTGGAGACCTTTCTCACACTTATCCACTTAAATGATGGATTCCTTGAGAAATAGTGAGTACGTGGTTATCGATAACGTTAATACATGTTTTATCCCTGCATCGTGGGATATAATGGTATAATGCATCCCTGCATTATACCATTCAAATCCTTCAGAAAATAAACACCTCAGACACAAGTAGTCAATCAATACAAATGCCGTTGAAACATATTGAAAATGCATAATCTGAAGCTATTGAAGACGAGATCAAGAGTCGTTTTAACCGGGCGCACAGCAGGTTCAGAGCCCTAGAGAGTTATTACCGGTATAAGTGGTCACCATGTGACGCGTCAGACGGCGCGGCGTTCAGGCGTCTCTATGGCACGCCGACCACAAGGCGCCCCCCCGACGGCGTAGCAGGAGGACTTCAGGATGATCAGGCCACACACAGAGCCCCCCACCCCAAGGGGCTTCCCAAAGAGATGATGGCTACAGGAGCGGAGATTTAAAGAGCGAACAAAGTAGTTTTGGAAGTAGCATAATGGCTCAATTTGGATTATTTTTATACAATTACCGACATGATTGCATATCACCGCTCTTCGAAGATTACATTGGTGAACACTTTGCTTGGAGTTACATTAGCGTAGTTATGTTACAATTAGCCCGGATAGGTCGAAAAAATAATGGCATGCGATATTTATACTGAGCACTCCTAAAGAGGTATGAGGGGATCTTGGAAAGATTTGATTTAAATCGAATAATTAAGCAAAATGTATGTTAATTATATTTAAGGGTTGAGGGGGGGGGGCGCCTTTCCTTCTCTGAACCAATCACAGCGGTGTATTACACCGTTCCCCATGACCACTGGCATGGATATAAAGTAAAGCTCACTGGCGACGATCGGCCACAACAGCAGTAGCAGTGGCTGCGGCGGTAGAGCGGAGGTTGTGTCCCTGAGAGAGAGACACCTAACCCTCACTGCTCTCCATGAGCTGGCCGGCGAAACAGAGTTTAAAATCCAGTCGAGTGTATTTCCTGGCTGTTGCGGGGCTCAAAACAACGTCACAGACTCCCTAACCTCGCGCCCCCTCACATGGGCAAAGATTCAGTCGCAAGACACCGAACACCCGCCGGCTGCAAGGCTGGCACCGCCGTCGGCGTCTGAATGGGTGAATGTGTGGCAAAATTGTAAAAAGCTTTGAATGGCCACTAGTCTGAAAAGTGCTGTGTAAATGCAGTCCATTTGCCGTTTAGTGTTCAGGTCCGCAATTGGTCCGCCTTTCTCAGCAGGTCACCGCAGGGCCAGCGGCTCAACTCAGGGTAAGGGACCTTCGTCTACGTCCTTGACTGTCGTCTGTCTCCACACCCGGAACAAAGGTTCAAGCTTTATTTCTGTATTCTCCACTCCCTGCTATTTTGTTTATAACTCCTGCCAGCATCTCAGGTAGTGAATACAGAAATCACACACACACACTATGTAAAGCGCTTTGGGTATCTTGATGCACTATATAAATGAAATTAATGAATTTGTCAACATGATAGCATAATATATACTGACTGGAATATAGCCAACTACCATTTTGGCTCATTTGTATGCTGTAGCTCGCATTGTCCTAAATCCTAATACATGAAACAGATGACGTCTTTACCGGAACAACTGCCACTAGACTTCATCCCAAATCAACGCACTTTGGTCACACAAGTGTGATTACGACTTTGGTTGGTGCCATCATTTATTGTTCATCCTATGATATCCCTTATGTGTGTGTGTGTGCTATTTGTTGTAGATGTGATTTTGCTATAACTAAGTTCTTAAAACTGTTGTTTATATGGGTTAAATGAATCCAAAGAAAATATTTCAGTATTACAATGAAGTTATATTGGTTATACTATCGGCCTACAAAATAAAAGCCACTCAAGGGGAAGTGGTTCGTCTTCATGAATAGTATTTCACGTTATGATGATTCTTATTGTTATTCAGAGTCCACTAAGCAATGTCAAGGAGAAAGAAAGAGACTGAGACTGTGTCTGTTAAGACAAGTAAACGGTCCACAGATCCCTCATCATGTCCTTTGACATGATGAGGGATGAGATACCACTAACCAGGTTGGTAGTTGGTCTCGGCTAGCATTTTTATTTTCACAGAGGTCGCTCTGAAAGGTACACAATGTTTTGGGTGACAAACGGCCGTTATATACAGTATATATATAGTTATATATATAGTTATTCCCATTTTATCACCCTAAAGTAGAAATATTTGGATTGTATTTTTGTGGCAACGGTATTTTGTGCGGTTCCTTTAGGTTGATGCTTTAAATCATGTACTTTTCGAAGTGTATTCGACCAAAGAAGCGTAAGTAAGGGGAAGAAAGAAAAAAAAAAATCCCTCAACCAACAGGGTGAGTAAGCATGTGGGAGAGAGGAAGTGGCGTGATGACGGATAGGCATGTGCGAGCCTCCCGAGACACGGAGCACACTCAGCCTCCATGACTAATCCGTAGCACCTCCCGCCTCCTACAGAGGAGGCGAGCGCTCGCTCCATTATCCGCAGACCACATAATAATGACACATTTACGAACAACTCGCCGGGCGTGTTGCGCTTATCGATGGTAGTCGGCGGCCGCCCTGAATTGCAGGTAAGCGGCGGATCGATATATTTCACAGGATGCGCCAGTCTTTTTGGTATTTCTTCATTTGAAATTGTCTGGGCGTACCTGTGTATTACATTTATTTCATAGCAATAAGTGGTTGTGGAGAGCTAGTTCCTGGCTCTGATTGGCGTTTTGAGGAAGGACCGAAAGGGTTTGCTTGAAGTGCATGTGAGATTTACCAAAAATGCATTTTGAGCTAAGGGGTACATATTATCCCCGTGGTTACGATGACCCGCGCTGAGTTTTTTTACGCTAGTACCGTCATGTATGGACCTTAAAATGAGCAATGTTGTATCTGAAATGTGCCACACACCAAGTGTTTCCGAGAAGCTTAACCCTCTCTCAGATTTATATACATTTAAACAATACACTATTTCTCTAATCTAAATACCTTAACACTATTACAAAATGACTGAAAATATCATTCATTTGGCACAAAAGCACAATTACACTTGGCAGGGTAAAAGCTATACTATTCATTTCCCAAACAGCAGTAATGAATATTTTGTGTAAAATATTTAAACTGCACATAATTTACATTATAAACCTGTTATGACGTTGGAGAAAATAAATACCGCTGTGAAATGAAACCGCTGTGAAATAACAACTCTTTCCAACGCGGCGGCGGCGAGGAAAGCGCCCACGCCTGTATCGCCATCTTTGAAGTACCTTTTCTTTTAAATATAATTGGTAAAAAAAAAACAGACATTTTAATTACAGCAGCGAGATGAATTAGTGAGATGAATCCATGAGATGAATTCGCTTGGCGTTAGCGTTAGCTTAGCGTTCACCTCCTGGTGTACACACACACACACACGGCCTCCCCGTCCCGCCTCGCCTTCGGTGCTGTGTGGTGGTTAACTACAGAAGCGCTGGTCAGCATATGTCAGCCCATCAGCGCTTTGAGGGGACCCGGTCTTGCTGAATGCATACTACACATCTTTTTATCACAGGGTAGCCGCCCAACGCTATACCTATAGCGCTATACCTATAGCGCTATACCTGCCGTTCTCTGGGGGGGGGGATTCAACCTTCAGACGACCCCCCCTTTCCCCCGTTTTAATCGGTTAAAACGCATTGCTGAACCGCCCGGCCGCACTATTTTTTTTTTCTCGTTTTCTGCACACGAGGGAACGGGTGTGAAGCCGCCGCGCCGCTAAGTTATTCACAGGCCTGATACACAGAGGAGTGTGTAACATTTACTTAAGATGGCGAGCAGAAGTCCGGCTTGCGTTGTGTCCTTTCTCGGAGACGAGTGTAGGGTGGAGAGAGAGAGACGAGGCCGCCTAATATAGTCTGTGTTTATCGAAGACCAAGTTAGGAGAAAGTGCGTTGAAGAGAGAGGCGGTGGAGGTTTGTTTTAGAGAGACAGAAAAACGAAACGAATGAACTTGCGACTCGAACCCCAAAACCCCGGCAATGTTAATGCCATGCTCTACCAGTTGAGCTGGTCAGCACCACATCTTGGTTCCTCATTAGAAAGTGACTTAATAACAGAGATCACCTTAACACCCCCCCTCCCGGCGCTCCTGGTCCTGGAGAATAGCACATCATGAAGATGTGCTATTCTCCATTTTGTCCCAAAAACTCTGTTCAGATTTTGCCTCCGTCTCCTCACACATCACGCACATCGTGCTCCCATACGATGACACACATTTGAGTTACAACACGGTATCTATCACGTCTGTACATGTCTTTCCTCGCCCCGTCTTGTACCGTATATATTACTTTATTTCTCAGCAAACTTTACACTTAAAGAACTCGCACGCTGTCGGAGCTGTGCTGCTGCCAAAGGAAAGACAGACACCGTCTCACCATGTACTCAAAAAGGGGCGAGAATCGAGGCTAAATAAATGCAGCGGGAGGCGAGGTTTCTCCGTCGACAACACGGCTTGGTTTTGACGTTATGTAAAACACACACATACACACACACACACACGCACGGAGTCAAGTTCAGACCCACCCCGAATACCAAGAGTAAATGTTAATCAATAGTGAGTACTGTGAAAATATCATGCTCTCTCAGAAAATGGTTTGTGGCCCTCCTTTGAAATACAATCACTTCAAATAATGTCTCTGTTGTGACCGAATGCATTGATGCAAACAAAGGTTTGCATACTAATGCTTTCTCTCGTGTGTGAGGCTGTACGTGATCAAAGAAAGCATTAAATGACTCAGAAGAGCCGGGGCGGGGGGGAAAAAAAGGCAACAACACACAAGTGGACTGGATTAAGGGTAGCCGACAGTAATGAATACCAACGCACTCGGGTGTTGTATTGGTCATAGGGTTTCAACACACACACACACACACACGCTTCCTTTTAAATCCATGTAGTTGGTGTGTCGGCTGTTGTATCTGCTTAACAAAAGGACATGGGTTTGTTGTCATGGCGTTGACCTTACGTCTGTTTAATTTCGGCATCATAAAGGTGAGCAGGAGCATTATTGGATATTAGATAATTATCCATTCGGGGAGGTTTAACACGCAATAAAGCAGTTGCTGTCTTACTATATAATAATAATAATAATAATAATAATAATAATAATACATTTTATTTAAAGACGCCTTTCTTGGCACTCAAGGACACTGTACAGAGATATACACAAAAGTAAAAGAAACAACAATAAAATACAGAATAAATTAAAAACAATTACATAGGACAGAGCAATTGGCATCAGATGGAATAGCAGTTTTAAACAGATGTGTTTCAGATGTGCTTACAATGTGTGATCCATTTGCACAATATCACATGTGGTAGGAAGGGATCGAAAGAATGTGCGGTCATCTTGGTTTAATCTTGAGTTCAGCAGGGTCTCAGCTACTAATTTATGTGTGTGTTGTGCGTGTGTGTGTGTGTGTTGTGTCAGGGCTAATTTGCAAATGCTGACTGAGAAATCTCAAGTTGACTTTCCACAGGTGCTGACACACACACACAAAAATGTGCGAGATGGATATTAGAAAAGCAAAGATAAAATGGAATAAGACAATGCAGTCTGAAACCCCCGCCTCCCCCCACACACACGCACACAGACACACAGGCACACAAGTGTGATTACATATACACTCAAGGGTAATGTGTGTACACAAAGCATTAACACGCAGGTGCGGCTGAAAGACATTTGAAGTCTCGGCTAGCCACCTTTTGACTGGCACACAAGCGCTGGAAATATGAAGAGTGTGTCTTGTGTCGTTCGACAGCGCTACTCAAACATCAAAGCCGGCAGCCTTTTCATCATCAATTACACCTCTCCAAATGTCAAGGAAAACACGACTCCCATCCTTAACTTCCCCAGTCTCCCTGCTGAAGCCGCTTCTTCACTGGCTCTACTGTCAAACCTAACCTGAGATCTGGGATCCAGCGGTCCTACTATGTTATAGCAGAACTACTGATCCAGGGGTCCTACTATGTTATAGCAGAACTACTGATCCAGCGGTCCTACTATGTTATAGCAGAACTACTGATCCAGCGGTCCTACTATGTTATAGCAAAACTACTGACCCAGCAGTCCTATGTTATATCAGAACTACTGACCCAGCAGTCCTACTATGTTATATCAGAACTACTGATCCAGCGGTCCTACTATGTTATAGCAGAACTACTGATCCAGCAGTCCTACTATGTTATAGCAGAACTACTGATCCAGCGGTCCTACTATGTTATAGCAAAACTACTGATCCAGCGGTCCTCCAGCAACAGGATTGGTCGAAAGAATTAAGAAGCAAAATAAAGTTCACCCAGATTTGAGCTTGTCTGCCATCAGACTTTACATATTAATCTAAAGTATGATTTGTGAGACAACCTAACACTGTACAACCGCACAGTTCACCGGTGTGAGTACACATGAATTTGTTGGAACGGTTGTTCCAAAAACTGGTGGCAACTGAGTCCCACATGCATAAATTAGGGTTCAAGACTAATCTAGTCTTAATATAACCATTTTCACGATCACAGTTGGTATTCGATATACCTCCAAATCAATACTTCAAAAAATAAATGTGTGTTTGTGCGAATCAAAGTAGCCTTGCTGTGTGCAGCAGAGGATTTAATCCAGCAGCTACAGATAATAAGTAGTGACAACGACTCCATACTCTTAAGAAATTACAGGAAGTTGATACCTCAAGGCGAAAGGCTGGCGCTGTGTGTATGCAGGTAATGCTTGCTTTGGTCTAGCAGGCTGGGGGTGGGGGGCAAAAAATAAAAATCAATATTAAGGCTTTGATGATCTCCCATTATGATGACCATCTACCCTCCCCCCCCAACACACCCCCCCCTCTTTATGTGGATGTCTGCCACACACACACACAACACACACATTACCAGAGCAAATGACCCTGAACCACAGGAGAAAATGCCTGCGTGGACTTAACCTTAATGTATATAAATGACCCTTCGGTCTTTAATGTGAGGTGGGAATTGTAGCCGTCGGCTAATCAACGTCCACCCTGAGCCAATGTGTCAATAATGGAAAGTAGTTTTGGCACAGGGAATTAGTCAGCTCCTGTCCTCCAATGAGGACACAGGAAAAGTAAAGAGACCTTTATTTTGTGTTTGCGTCAATGATTCCTCACAATGATACACGACCGAATGTTTCGCAATCACGTGTCCGAGGCCAAAGTGTAGCTTCACAAATAAACAAATAAAACAAAGCTCATACATAAATTCATGCGTTTGAAAGGTTCGTTTGAAAAACACCATCAGCATCCACTCTTCATAGACCCCTCCCCCACACACACACACACACACAATGTGTGTAATATTTTGCATTTACGCAACACAGCACCCCGTGAGCATCCCCTTTTTTAGGTCTATCTGGTCTCCCAGTTTGACAGTTCGGGAACAGAACCGGGATTTCCCCATAGTTTTCCCAAAAGCCCTGCACTAATCTCCCCATTCACCTAAATACTCTCCCAGAGTCGTGGGTACATGGATATATCTCGGTCCTACAGATACCTGCTAGCCACCATCGGCTTGGGTACAATCTCCGCTGGAGATCGGCTTGTATCGTTTTCAACAGCTGGGCTGTTGAAGGAGACGAGGAAGAGAGGAAAGCAACGTACGGGAAAGGGAGGAGAGAAGATGAAGTGAAGAAGAGGTGAGGGAAAGAGAGGAAGGAAGAGGAAGGGAGACGAGAAGAGACAATCCCTCCAGGATTTCGCGGGCCTTTTTTGTGATTGTTGTGGCCTAAAAAAGTTTCGGTGTTTTTTAGGCTTTTGTTGTGATTACAGTGCGAGAGGAAGTGAAAGTTGCAATAAAAGTTGCAATTTTCCTGATGTTAAAATTAAGTTAGTTCTGCAATTTTGCTGAGTAATATGTTAAATATTAAGTCATTACTGCGGAAAAAAAAAATAGAATAAAAATAATAAAAACACTGACAAATGGCTCCGCGGTAAACACAGAAGTAAGGCGGAAGGTAGTTTGTCGACGTCAGTTCAAGATGACGCCAATGATTGGTCAAATTTGCGGGATAAGAAAAAGAGGAAGGAGAGAAGATCTGTCGAAATTTGTGCACTTTCACCCGACCGTGCGATGGATCAACCGCATGCAGGTGGCGGAGAAGAGGAAAGAGCGACGGGTTGGGGATAAATATGCGGTACAGTACAACTAAACCACTGTGTCCAAACCCGCTGCTTTACCCCGGGAGTCTTCCCCAAACACCGGTAATCTCCGAGGCAAACGGATAAACCGAGTCAAGACTTATAGAAACTGAAATGTGGTGTTGAATGTGTACGGGGGGGGGGGGCGTTTGTAGATGGCATGTTTTCCGCAGCATTTCTTTCTTTTTAAATAACAGCTCAAAAGAAGCGAGTGGCTTTTATTTTGGCGTGAGCATGTGTGAGCGTCAAAAAAGAAAAGTGTCAAAAAATGTGAAACTGAAAAAAAATGTAAAAGGCAACCGCAACTAAAATGCTGTAACTGTCTGCGAGGGAAGCGAGGAGAGGAGAGGAGGAGAGGAGGAGAGGAGGGGAGGGGGGGAGGAGAGGAGAGATGGAGAGGAGAAATGAGGAGGGGAGGGGAGAGGAGAGAGGAGAGGAGGCAACACAAGGATGAAGAACGGAGAAGGAGAAAAAGAGAGGAGAAGAAGAAAGTCTTGCGACAGACGGAAACAGCATCATAATCATATTTTCTGACAGGAGAGGACAACTACAGAGTCACGGGGGGGGGGGGGGGGGGGGTGTGTGTGTGTATGTGTGTGTGTGTGTGTGTGTGTGTGGGGGGGGTTTCTCAAGGTTGTTGTCAAACTTCCAGCTCCATATCACAAGTCGCACAACTCTCGCACATCCGCCGTTGCTGGTAACCTCGATTAGCACTCGAGCTAAACCTTGAGGAAAGCAACATGTCAATAAAAAAAGTGTGGTTTTGTGTTTGTGATTGGATGACTCACACACACAGAGACTTAGAGACAGAGAGATGCAGAGAGAGAAAGCGCCGGATCGATGTGTTTCAACC